CTCTCGGTATTCCCGCCACAGGTGCTTCCGCTGTACAGGTTGACAATGGCAAGCTTGGCAAGAACATCCCGAGGGACTGGGGTCACGTCGATCGGCGAAGCGGCTGCCAGGAATGGAAGGGCACCCAGGAGAGTGATGATGGCAGGCTTCACGGCGTACATCTTGATGTGTATGGAAGAGAAGGATATTCTTTACAGACTTAGAATGGGAAGTCAATCGAAGCTGATGAATGTGGTGGCTGTTTGGACTGAAGAAATATCCCACATCTGGGGGGCTGAGGAGGTTTTTATATCCGCAAGACACACCATTGGATGTGCCGTGATGTCTAAAGATCTGGACATCAGTAGCTCAATCCGGCTCTATCTGTTCGCTTCGAACACCTAAAGGAGTTAATTAAGCCTTCGCAAGATGATTCTTAAACTAGCCCCTATACCATAGCCAACAGTGTAATACTTGCAGCCAACAATTATTTTATATCCAGCTCCCCAAAACAAGTAATATCCGGGTCTCGCTCTCCATCTCACATAATTTTTCATGATTCCCTGCCGCGTGCCGATCTTTTCGTCTCCTCGTCTCTCGTGACAACTGACGTTGATACTTTCTTGGGGTTCTAGCTCTGATTGGTACCCGGGCATCCGAAGCGAGCGTAGCAGTCTTTGTCTGATGGGAAGGGGCTGAGTAATGCCGGTCATCTTGCACCATGATCACGGTTCGCGGCAACAGCTGTTGTAGGGATCAGGTGTCAGCGTATCTTGCCATACTGTATATGGAGGTCAGGAGCAGGAATTGCGTAGGCATCATGAATTAGTAAAGAATTCAGCTAACCCTATTCTAAACTACAGCTCTCTGACAGCCTGGTAGTAAAAACGGAACCAGATATAGACGTACGAAATCCTATCCAACTCAGGGACACTGTAGATTGAGTAGCCTTCCGTTCTTATGTGCCACCTTGGAAGCTCTACAGGTCTATCCGAGGACTGCTCATTCAACTAACTTAACACCGAACCTACTCACGTATGTAAATGAGTACTTGATAGATTCACTGCTTGCTGTCACTGTTCTACCGAATAATAGGTAGCAAGAGACATCGGCATTTTCAATGATAACGAGGGAAATAGTGAAGTCAAACTTTGTATTTTATGATTTTTAATCAATTTAACATTGGTTGATTAATCTTCAATGATTCCTTAGAAAGGGGGTTTTGTTGCAATAGTTACATCAAACAGGTACTGAGATCGATTGAATTTTATGTTTTCCGCATCCTAAAATAGCCAACGTGGTATGTACTGCCATTTTCATATATTGTTGAACACTCGGTGAAAGAGCGGTTACAGACTTATTGCGGCGGCGCGGTCTTTGCTAGGCGGCACCCATTTAGCCTCGCCGTCTTAATTAGCTACACAGTATCCTATATTACTGTCATTCTGGCTCGACATTTAAACGTCAGATCGAATGAACTCATCGACCTGTACCGAAGGCCTGTGTTAAAAGAGGGTTATGGCTATCCGAACATCGTATTCTGATATATACGAAAAAGTACCGGAACTATATAATACTTTCATTATAACATATATTGAAGAGTTGCAGGTGGTCCTACCTCTAACTGTACTTCTACCTGTGATGCGGAAGGAGAGGGAGATCGTGATACATATAAGCATTGACAGTAGTGAATAAGTAACGCATACTTAATATTGTGAGTTGTACCTATCGTAGGTAGATTTCCTAGAAGTGGGCTAGTTATATAGTACAACGGCCAGGAGAGTATCATGCAACCTTGATATAATATCTAACTCTACAAAGGCATAATACTCCAATATTAGTACTACATCAGCTAGCTGCCTCTAGTAGCATTTTGATTTCAATCACAAATCCAGTTTTCGGCCAAATTTCGGTTGCCTTGAACGAATCTCGCCACCCTCGGCCATGGACACAACGTTCTCTGACTTTCAACAGTCGGGGCCGTTTCCTTCACAAACTTTGTAGCAATAAGTTTATCTGGCGGCGCATCTTCTTCCACCCACTTCATCAGCGCCAGGACAGCATCATGCTTGGCATCCATGTGCCCAGGGACAGAATGCGTGAGGTTTCTCACACCATTCAATCTACCGGCTATGCCCGCTATCTGCGATGCTGCTGCTATATACCATGGGGCGTCTGGCTGTGTTGGTGCGCTAGACACGCAGTGGTTCATTCCTGGGATGAGGAAAAGTCGTAGGAATGAAGACAGCTGAGACTCTTCAATATTCATAGACTCCATAGTATAGTTGAAGTACTCGATACTTGATCCGGCCGGGATCAGAGGATCAGCGTAGCCATGGTACATGATAATCTTGCCCCCTCTTTCCCGGAAGTCTGAGATATCGAAGTCATTGGCTGTCGCACGGCCCGGGTCAATACGAACAGCTGTAAGGAAGTCTTCATCTGAATACGACGTATAGTTGTATAAGGTGTCATTGTAGACGAAGTTCTGAAAGTATCCGTATCCTATGGCGTTGGCTCCAGATGCAAGTAAGGAGGGGTCAGCTCCAAATGGCAAGCCCTGGGACACAACCGTGTTGTCGACCCTGTAGAGAGAGAACATCTTCTGTAAAGTAGCAAGCTGAGGCTTAGTTACGCAAGCGGTCTGGCTCGCAGACGGGGACGAGCAGAGTAGCGCAGCGTAATCGATTCTGCAACTAGCAGGGTCTTGGATGATCGAGTCAGTCACGCCATCTTGACTATCACATAGCTCGGTGATTTGCGCGGTGAAAGAGCTGAACAGAGCCTCGGTGATGTGATACGGGGACTCTGGGGGATAGTTCTGAAGAGGTACCCACGTCGACCACGACTGAAGATGAGTGGTCTGCCAAGCGGCATCACCAATCAAAACACCATCGAAATCGTCAGGATATAGCTGAATTAACCTTAGACCCTGGCGACCACCGGTGGCACATCCGGTGTAGTACGACTGTTTGATAGATGCTGTAGTGCTTTTATCATCGCTATAGTAAGTTGAGACGATCTGTTTGGCCAGGTTGACCGAGCCATGTAAGGCACGATAACTCCAGTCGATGATTCTTTCTGGATTATTCAGCGCCCACGCACTGTCTTCGATATCGGAAAGATGGCCAGTGTCCGTTGATACAGTCGCAAAACCGTAGTGAGTATATTCACCCATGTCAGGATACTGATAATCATCAGCTATGCCTTCAAATGTGACAGTAAGCAATACGTACGTTGATTCCTCCCCCAAAGCCGCCGTTTCCAGTGGTCATCAACCGGCCATTCCAATGATCTTTCCCCGGAAGAAGGATTCCTATGTTATATGAAGTGGTGTCGGACGACTTGACATTGAGCTTTATAGCACATAGTTCCGGCAAGTTGGTGACATTTACAGGATACTCTGGGCTGGGATCGAATGACGATCCACCTGCTGAAATCTTCGTCGCGTACATAACTGTGGCTTCCGGGCTCTTCAAAGTTCCCAAGACGGCCTCGAAACTAGCCACAGTACAAGGGAGACATGAAGCACAGGCGACATTGAAATATTGTGCCCCAAGCATGATGCTCAGCCATTTCAACTCCATAACAAGGGCAGGAGGCTGATAATAGGGTCTAGAGAGCGAGAGAGTTGTCAGAAGGCAGAGGCGAAACTCAATTCATTATCGAAAGAGACTATGATACTCGGATTATAACGAACAAGACAAGACGATGTTCTCAGCGAGCAACTTGCTGACAGACAATCACGAAATAACTTGGTGGGTGAAGTCAAAATCGTTCGCTGTAGTCTTCAATAATCTCACCCGCCAAGAGATATCAGTGACTAGCCGTATCTTCACTAGCATGGCGATTGAATCGGTAAGGAAAAGCAATAAGATCAAGGATGCACGCTCCACAAAGAGATCCTCCATGTCACTGAAGGATCTCAAGCTAATAATGGATACCTATAGTCAGTTGGCAAAGTCACTTACGTCGTCAATGTCACAAACGTCATATCTAGCCTATAGTCCTCCTTTGAGGCGTGTCCCATTAACTGGTTGACCGACCGACCCTATCGTTTTGATCTTACATTCACCCAAACTGATCTCCGGAAAACGGGTTAGAACGGAAACCCAAGTATCAGTTGCTGTCTTGAGAAAAGAAATCGAGCGCTGATATCCATGTCCGCGCTTTCGGGGCGAGAATATTTCAATGCTCGACAAGGCTTAAAGACATGATTTGCCTAGTCGGGCGCGTCCTACGCGAGATCCAAGATATTCCCGTCCTAGTTTGTCATGTCGTAGCTGATGTGGTTACGTTTCGTCGAACACTCCTGGGCGCAGAAGACGAGCCCCTAAGAACCGAGAGCCCTTTAGTTTGCTGTGACTGCGCAGCCTATCTCGTTTTCTCGCCTCGTTCCAGAGCCTCTCGCATGAACATGGCATCTCGAAGGTCCTCCTGTGGGTCATGGAAATCGGCAAGTAGGTCATGAGGGAAATCGTGGGGTCGAATGAGGCTATCAGGTAGGCTCACTCGCTGCCCAGTGATGTCTTGGGAAGCTATTCGGGCAACTTGATTAATATAATGATCATAACCGATAGTTTTCGTAAGTGGCCTAAGACACTAAAAGGCCATGATTGTGAATCGACGGTTAGGGCGGAAGTGAACCTATGCAGTCAACAGCAAAACCACCTGAGACCCGAGAAAGTGGATAAAGGGATATTATGAGCGATGGGAAAGCTGATGCTGAAATTGATATAATATAGCCAACATCATCGTTATAAATGAAACCAGGATCGAGGCTGATTGGGCGTTCACATACCAGTGAGATACATGTCAGTTGGGTATGTTGGGTACACACGCGGAATATGCAGCGACTAATGCGTTCTGTTCCGGTGTTTTCCGCTGGGTGACTATAGTGGAGAGATAACTTGGGCAAATTCAACCAGCTGGCATCGTATAGTGGTTAGTACAGCTCGTTGTGGCCGAGCAAACGCATGTTCGATTCATGCTGTCAGCAGCCCACGCAAAAGGTTCCCTATTCCGAATTGGTGTAGCGGTCAACATTTGACGTTTTCATCTGCCTTTCTTACCTCAACTTAGGTCGAGTGAGATATAGAGAAATACCGTCAAGCCCGGGGTTCGACTCCCCGATTCGGAGTATGTAGGATTGTCTTTTTGCCTTTTTTTTTTTTTTTCTCTCTCCCATGCGTGTTCTGCCTTGGAGGTCTTGCAGAACGAACCCACTAACCAAGTAAATGTTAGTCCCTCTATGACTGCAGCTTATAATTGTAGATAGTGCCCGTTGGCTTCACAAGCCTTAAAAACGTTTCAACGTCATGTTTGCCACGGAAAGGAGTAGCAAGAAACAAATGAAGAAGGATAGATAGTATCTAAATATAAGTATGTAGGTATATGTAAGCTCTTATCAAATTACTATAAAGCAACTGGAGGTAGGAGAAATTGGCGTAGAGCTCGAGTGGCTTCCATGGCCATTGAAGGTATATGTACTCCTCGTACATAATTTGCCTCTAGATACATGTCGGTACCTGGGTACATGAGGCACCTAACCTCTAAGTACCTGAGGTATCTACCCCGCCATTAGTGCCAATGTCTCCCTCGCCTGCTGGTACTACACAGGTACCCGAAGACGGTGCCCCACCATCCCACCATCCCACCTCAAAAGAGTCACAGGTTTTTTCGAGTCATCGTCTGCTGTTTCAACCTGACCGGGCTTCAGAACGGATTCAGCAGCCGCATTCGAATCGTCGCCTCTTCCTCGTCCGTTCATCTAAACTGTGCGACAAGATGGCGACGACAGACCAGACCGCGGCCACCAAGGCTGTTCCCAAGATGGAAAACGTGCGGCGATGCCTTCCCTTCACTTTTCCCATCGTCTTCGCGCCTCGTCAAGCCGACTAACCCGCCCGTCCAACAGACCGAAAAACGCGACACCCTGATCTCCGACGAGCTGCGATACCAGAAGGAATGGGACGACGCCAAGATCTTCCAGCAGAACGCCCCGGCAGCCGGCGAACCTAAACCGCCCAAATTCTTCGCGACTATGGCATACCCAGTACGCATCTCAGACTTCTCGATCCTCCCTTTTCGCGCCTTCCAGGCTATTGCCTCCTTCGATCGCGTTGATTGCTGACATCTGGCTTTGGATAGTATATGAATGGTGTGTCTCGGTAGAAATCAGGGAAGGCGTTGAGTAGCTGAATTAATTCATTCTAGGTACTCTTCATGCTGGCCATGCCTTTACGTGGAGCAAGTAAGAGCAGCTCCTTGCACCACTACAGGCGTCCGAGGTACTAATTGATCTTGCGCTATCCTATAGAGTCGAATTTATGACAGGATTCGCGCGCATGCAAGGGCAGCGGGCATTGTTCCCTCAAGGTTACCATTGTACCGGCATGCCCATAAAGGCTGCGGCAGACAAGCTTAAGCGCGAAACCGAGATGTTTGGCCAGAACTTCGAGAACGCCCCGTCCGCCGAGCTCGAGCAGTTGTCAATCGCCGACGCGTCCGACGCCGGCAAGACCGATATCAGCAAATTCAGTGGAAGTAAGAGCAAGGCCGCCGCCAAGTCGGGCAAGGCCAAGTATCAATACGAGGTCTGTAGTCTAAACTACGCGTCGATCTGCCGAGCACAGGTTGACATAAATACAGATTATGCTATCTCTTGGCATTCCCGTCGAGGAAATTCACAAGTTCGCCGATCCCTATTATTGGCTCCACGTCTTCCCTCAACATTGCGAAGCAGACCTCAGGAGAGTTGGTGCCCGTGTTGATTGGCGGAGGTCGTTTGTTACAACCGACGCGAATCCCTTCTACGACTCCTTCGTGAGCTGGCAAATTAACAATCTAAAAGCTCTCAAAAAAATCAAGTTCGGCAAGCGCTTTACAGTGTATTCGCCCAAGGACGGACAGGCGTGCTTGGATCATGACCGAAGTAGTGGAGAGGGCATTGCCGTACAGGAATACGTTGCCCTGAAGCTTAAGACACTCCAATGGTGTGAAAAGGCTAAGGAGATCATCGGCGAAAAGATCCCCGCGGAAGCAAATGTGTACTTCATACCTGCTACACTTCGTCCAGAAACCATGTATGGCCAGGTAGGTATTGGGGCTTTTCATCCCTGCGTCCGTCGGCGGCGAGGGTTTATTCCTTTCCGAATCTCCGATTTCACTCGGAGCTTTAGTGATTCATATTCTTAAACGGCCGTCGCTAACTCTATTCTTAACCAGACATGTTGCTTCGTGGGCCCGACAGTTGACTACTGTGTCTTCCGAGTGCCGAAAGAGGGAGGAGAAGATGAATACTTCTTCTGCAGTGAGCGTTCTGCTAGGAATGGTATGGTAACAGTTCTTTGTCCTAACCTAAAATCCCCCCCCCCCCCCCCCCCCCCCCCACAAGCAATCTATTGTACCCATTACTAACCACGTTTGTAGTAAGTGCCAGAGGTTTACTATGTGACAACATACTATGTGACAACATTTAGGGGAGGGGAGACCTGGGAATGTCCAGAGAGAAGTTTTTCATGATCCAGACCGGATTGTTAACATACAGCAGATGGCATTCCAGGGCACGTTTTCTAAATGGGGCGAGTATCACCAAGTAGTCGGCCTAAAAGGCTCCGACGTTGTCGGAACCATCGTCCATGCTCCGCTCTCAGTCCACGAAAAAGGCATCAGAATTCTGCCAATGTCAACTGTAAAGCCGACAAAAGGAACTGGAGTGGTTACGTGTGTTCCTTCTGACAGTCCAGATGATTATGCTACTACATTGGACCTCAGGAAGAAGTCCGAATTCTATGGAATTCAGAAAGATTGGGTAGTAGAAGAGATTCTTCCCATCATTCAAACGCCTAGTTCAAACTTGTGCGTGTCATCCCCATGCGGAATATCTACTAGCTTCCATATGGCTAACCTTTTCTCAGGATAGCAAAGCACCTCTACGAAACTATGAAGATCAACTCGCCCAAAGACCAAAAATTACCCGAGGCGAAAGAAATCGCCTACAAAGAAGGCTTCTACTCAGGTGTTATGCTATATGGTGAATTCAAGGGAATGCCTGTGCAGGAAGCAAAGCCACTGGTGAAGAAACAGTTGCTAGATTCAGGCTTAGCTTTCAACTATGGTGAGCCAGATGGGCTCGTCATCAGCGTGAGAAATCTCCCTCATTATCTACCATATCTCTAAACGGTTTACTAATTCCGAAACACTACAGCGATCTGGTGATGAGTGTGTTGCGGTACGTTGAACTACAACTTTTCTAAACGACTGAACTAACGTACACGTAGGCATACCTCGATCAATGGTATTTCAACTACGGTAAGCTACCTGGCTTAGTATACCATTCGTTAGCTCATACCTTTATAGGGTCTGCCGAAAATGGAGGTGACCAAAAGTGGTATGAAGATGCCATTAATTCCATTGAGACCGATCGGACCAACTGCTTCTTCCCAGAGGGAAAGCACGCGATGAAACAGGCACTGAATTGGTGTGTCCCATATTCCGCAATATTTTGATTACCATTAACAGTAATATTCTAGGCTAGCACAATGGGCTTGTTCTCGGTCTTTTGGATTGGTAGGAAGCCTTATTATTCCCATAATTCAAGTGCTAATATTCTCCAGGGAACCAAACTCCCTTGGGACCATACCCAACTTGTAGAGTCGTTGTCTGTAAGTCGAATCATCGTATTTCTCTCTCGACATTTTACTTATATTCGCAGGATTCCACGATATACATGGCGTATTACACCGTTTGCCATTATCTGCACGGGGAGTGAGTCATATTATGTCCTTTTATCTTTCAATTTGACTGCTGTTAGCGTCAAAATCTCTTACGCGAGCTGGATTTACCTCCGAAGTCATATAACTTTAATACCTCCTAAACGTCCGCAAAGGAAGTGGTTCCTGACCTAGTAATGCAGTATTTACGGAAAGGTCCCCGGCTTGTCATCCAAGCCTATTTCCCCCTCACAGATGACGGAGGGAGTCTGGGACTACATCTTTAACAGGACAGACCACGTTGACAGCGACATACCTCGCTCTGATCTTGATGCTATGAGACGCGAATTTTCGTATTGGTACCCACTAGATGTTCGCATTTCGGGCAAAGATTTGATCAACAATCAGTAAGTGGCCCCAAGCGAAACCAATTTTATGAATTTACTTATTTCTCTGGAGGTTACTTACTTTAATGTAACTATTACTGACTACTGATGCTAAAGTCTAATGTTTTGCCTTTACCACCATGTCGCTCTTTTCGACGAGTCCTACTGGCCCCGTGGAATCAGGGTAAACGGGCATCTCATGTTGAATGGCGAGAAGATGTCTAAGAGCACAGGCAACTTCTTAACTTTACGAGATGCTGTTGAAAAATATGGAGCTGACGCTACGAGAATGTGAGTACATACACAGTCTTTTCTTCTGATTCTAGTCGAGGAGAGGGGTAAAATTGCACCGATCTAGAGAGGCTTTTCGTCTTGACGCTGTGCATGTCCCCATGGGTTTGTATCTCTTGCCAAAAGCCGACTATGCTGACTTTCCTACCTTGAAAAGTTCTCTAGCAGATGGCGGTGATGGAATCGAAGACGCAAATCTCGAAGAGACCGTTGCTAATGCAACAATCCTTCGACTTTATGAGCTGAGAAAGTGGTGTCAAGAATCTGCCAACGATTCTGAGCTCAGAAATGGCGACTTGGGTCTCTTTGACAAGCTGTTCTTGAACGAGATGAATATACTAGTTGCGCAGACCAAATCATTCTACAATGATACCTCGTTTAAGCTTGCTCTTAAGTCAGGCTTCTACGACTTTGTAAGTGAAGGAAGAGATCCAGTCAACGTTCCCAATACTAATGAAATGGCTAGATCGCATCTCGAGACTGGTACCGAGACATCACCAAGTCTGTGGGCATCAGCATGCATCATGATCTTGTAGTGCGATACATTGAGCTGCAGGCTCTACTACTGACACCTATGTACGTTGGACTTCCTAATTTAGCAACAACACCTTCTGACATCCAGCAGAGCCCCTCATTTTAGTGAATATTTATATCGCGAGGTGCTCAAGAATAGCGACAGTGTTCACAACGCATTGTTCCCCGAAGTGCCGCTACCAGATGCTGTACTGTCAGCCATATTCAGTTATGTG